CTCGAAGGAGCGGTGACTCTTTCCGCAGCGCAGCAAAGGATGGCACTTTTTGAGTTTTGGTAGATATCACTTTCAGATAGCGGGGTGTACTTCGTGTGAGTGGTGAGCATGTGGGCCTCGCCTCCTTATGACCCCCATGTCTACTGTCGGTTTTTTTCAGAAGGTGGAGGTTTTGTGAAAAAGTCATGAGGTGGATAGGAGCCCAAAATATCATTTTTATGTCGGAGCCATGATTCGATTCTCACCCTAAACTCCTTTTTTAAGCCAAACTTGCCGCTGAAGTCACCCATCAAGTTGATAGAGGGATAAAAAGGATTCTTTTTCCGGAGACTTCCTCCAACTTACTAGCTGTGACGCTAGAATAGCAGTTGATGATGGTGGTCTTATGGCAGGAAATGAAGTCGAAGATGGCCAGGAGGGTTGATAAGATTACGAATGGACAAGACAAACAGCTGATGGATACAGAACAGCCAACGCCTCTAATGTTCCATAGTGGTACTTCATAACGAATGATGAGTGCGGCATTAACTGTCACATCCATCTCCCTGGCGTTCTTTGCAAGGCGATTACCTGGAAGCTGATGCGCCCTGTGAGTTCGAAATGCTCAGAGGTGCGTTGTAAGTGTAGACCACATGGCAATCTAATGGCCAGTCTTTGACGTTTCTCTTGTCCGACACCTATGGCGTTCTCTGCAACTCAATATTCGTTCTGACAACATCCCAGGCCGCAGATAAGATCAAGTGTGCAGAGCTCTTTTTTATTAGATTTAGCGAATGGCTCAGCGAGACAGTAGCGTTTCTGGCTCTACGTGCTGGGCATCTGAAAAAAGTCAAACCTTTCTTCTTTCCTTCCTGCCGGAGAACTGTACTCGCATTTCACACACCGAGTACCCCACGCTATGGTGAAGCGATAGATCATTATCTTCTTTTTCTGTCCTTTTCTACTTTGTCAGCAAATAGAATATTTTAGATTGCAGATTCTAAGAGATGAAGGCGTTTTCCGCCGCTATTTTGCAGAAATTTACTCGGTAAGCTAAGAAGGAAGTTCACAACTGTTCATGATGTTTTGAAGTTTATTATAGATTGTTTGGCAATATGAAGTTTCAACTCAACAAGTTATTACTTTCGCGATTTTTCTCGAAGAATAACTGAAATATATAAATCATATATGTTAGAGCAGATTTACGGAAAAAAAATCTGGCACGTGCTGAGGAAGCGAAGAGACAAACAGAAAGACATTGGTTTGCATGAGGTAGATAATGCTTATCAATTTAAATCACAGATTCTTGCTTCCATGTATTGCTGGGTCGAATTGTTTGACCGGAAATGAGAACTGATATGTAGGACGTGATAAGGTCATCCATCTTGTAACCCTGTAATATCGTAGTTAAAGATGAACTTCCTTAGCACAAATTTACTGGATAAGAAAGTGTTTGAGTCCTATAAAAAATCAATAGGAAAACTACCATAGTAGTGTCGAGGAGAAGTTTCTTTCCCTCACTGCCTCTTAATCCATTACCAACCGTCATGTTGAAGTACGTATTTCCACTTGTCCAATTGCAAATAACATTGAAAGGATACTGTAAATTAATGTGCAGTATGGCAGAGGCGCTTCATATTGAAGATTAATTTTTCAATGTATCTTCAATAAAATGAAATTATTTACCTGAGTTAACAATTTCTTTGACTCAGCGTCGTAAAGGTGCACTCCCTTTTGATTAATTGCAATCAATAATTTATCAGGCAAGCTAAGATCTGAGTATTGGGAGACCTGAACGAACAATTTTAATACTAAGATAAAAGTTGCTAGGGAATGCTGTAGGATGTCAATATTTGCTTAAAGATAGCTCAAGAATGCCATTTCTTTTTTTATGCTTGAAGTGAAAATGGCCAGTAGTGCTACCCGCTTTTTTATTATCTGGCAATCCAATTATTGTTTTAAACTAATGAATGAAAAATCATGTGTGTATAAGAGATTAATAGATGAGGCATAGTTTGTCAGGTTCATTTAGTTTTCCCAGTCGGTCCTAGCTACACCAAAATTTCCCTTTAGGGAATGTTCTTTATATTCAACTAGAAGATAAGCTTGATAGATGTATAAAAGTCATTATAGTTAAGTAGAACTACGCTATATAGGTTAGAAGCCCTTACATTATATGTTTCACAAAAGGTCGTAGTGTGACGGATTTTTCGAGGTTGGCTTCAGCCTCTTATGGACCAGCAAGATTCAGGTTATGGTTACTGCCTTGGGCGCCTTCTAACTCTTAATAATATCACCCCCAAGAAATCTATAATTCGTGACTACTTCCAAAAAACAGATTTTTCTTAAAAAATGACAGTGAATAAAATTTTCGGGCGGGGTTTTTAGAAAGATATCACTCCTGTTTTTTTTTGAAATCAATCGGAATTATTTTTTCTGGAATATTGTAACAAATTTCTCAGTAATTTCAATCAATGTTTTCTCGCACTTAATCCTCCACAAAACCTGCAAAACCAAAACATGTTACACAGTTTAAACCAGAAAATTAAAAACGTACCGGGAAGAAGGCAGAACCAAAAGTTTCTCTCTTAGCTATAACATTGAGGAACTCTATCTTTGCTTGGTCCGAAGTTAGATGCTCTACTTTCACATATGCAGAAGTAATGACCTAAAATAATAAGCTCATTCGAAAATGATAGATATCAGAGGTATTGAAAATAAGAGATATTAAATTTCTTATGGTTTGAGAACTAGGCTCACCTTTCTCCACTCATTTGTTGACATCAACTTCATCATATCTTTGGGAACCAATTCGCTTAGTAGTTGAGGAATTTGAGCTAATGGAGCGTTCTGAAAACGATGTATCAACTCTGCAAAAAGTAAAGTTCCCCGAGAATCGAACCTTTGCGTCTTTGGTTATAGCTCTTAAAATGATGGCTGCTATGTCGATCGCCTCTTGTTTTCCAATCTTGTGATATCCCAGTAAATATTTTGGACATTCCTAATAATTCATATTATACTTCGTATACTTTTGATTGCTAGATATACTGTTATTCCAAACGACTTTTACATACCTGATGATAATGGAATATCAAGTCGGCATTCTTATCATCTCCAGGTTTTACATTCATCCACAATTTCCTCATAAAGAATACTTGGTAGTTGATTGGGAGGATTGGGTTCTCCTAAATAATCAAATGACCTGCAAAAAGAGTTGAGTCTAGAACATATAACAAACCTTTAAAGCATGGTTATTTTGAACCCAGTCTGACAGCTGGCGAACAAAGTCGAAGAAGAATTCATTTTCTGGGACTGCTAGCACTAAAAGAATTGAGTTTTTATAGAAACTGTTTAATTGGAAATACCAAGATGGTGAGTTCAACCATTGTGCTAAATTCTTTCGTCTTGAACCAAGGTCCTTCCTGGCTTGGTTGATCTTATTAAAGTTGAGTGCAATAGTATTGTCGACCTATCTACGTACCTTTATCCTTAATCTTCACAAACAGTGAAAATCCATCGCGTTTCCTTAACGATAGCCTATGGGCTATCCGATGGCAGAAGTCTCGAGCTCTAGTTGATGATTCGACTTCAATTGCTTCATCCGATTGATCGGGGAAGTAGACCTAAATATAGAGCCAGACCAGATGCTTGACAAAAATTTTATTCCATCAAAATGAAAGTACCTTATGGAATATTTGTGTTGTTTTCTGCTGAATTGCTTCAACTTCAACCAAATGTGGGGGAAATTTTCGAGAACATCCTCTGAAGCATATAGTATCTTAACCGAAGCTCAAACAACCACTCCAATCACCTACTTGTTCATCTTCATTATCCTAATTAGGCAATCGTGCGCAACTGGATGCAGTCGCGATTTGAAAAAATGAACCACCTAAACTAAGATTTGCAGATTTAGGTTGTTAAGGAGGTTTTGCTATTATTGACTTGGTTTTGAACCCTACCACCCTACCTCCTTCATTAAGCTGGTGCTCGGCGCGAAAAGACCAGTGGCCAACCAGATTAGCTCCCAGCCTCGCTCCTCTGACAACATCGATGGGTTGAGGGTTACTTGTCGTAGAAGTTGACAATAAAGTTCATCTCGAAGGATTTCCTCAAATCAAACAATTAGATCACTGAATAAGCCTGAATGATCCAAGTATGAGCTTACATGAGCAATGGCCGGCTTGAATATGTTGTCAGTCAGATCAGTTCCCAGTCTACTTCTTCTAGAGGGTTGATCTCCCATGTATTTCATGACAAACATAAACATAGACATCGCTTCACGACATTGTTCATCTCTGAGAAATACCCATGTTTACGCTTCGTCATAATCAAAATTTATGCTTACCGTCCCTCCAACTTCTTCAGCAATGGAGCATCCATCGGTTCACGGCTAAACCTCCAACGCGGCGTAGGACCAACGTCACGACGTCGCAATGACATCAATGATCGCTGTGTCATTGATGGTCGTTGCGGAGGCCTGCAAAATTTGCTTATTGTGCTAGGAGAATGCAGAAAAGCTTGTAATTACCGGAAATTAGCAACTGCGAATTGTTCCAAAGTGTGCGGATGACCATCTGTTTGGAAGACGACAACTTGGTTGTTATTTAGAATATCTAAGGCCATCTGTTCTCCTTTGGAGAAGAGTTGCTAAAAAATATAGTTCTTTTCCATTCAGTCTGCAAATGTTCAAAAACATTTTGGAGATACTCAGATTAATATATTTCTGTTGTAACATCCTAGCGCTTCATATGATTTAGCGATAGGA